TTTATCCCATTTTGATGGACATTTAAAAAGTAAGGAATCAAATTATAAAAAGAATTCATTTAGTAGTTATGAAAGCGCTAATTATTGAAATTGGTGGTTGCTAAGGTATAACTAGTTGTTTGTTTGTATTTATAGCAGATTTTTATACTGGCAGAGTGACTTAAAAGACCGAGAGTGAGTTAAAAATATTTTAAGTCACTCAGGTGATAAACGTCTACTTACCTTTGTCATTATGTGTTCAATAATGACATTATTGAACGTATAACAATAAAGGTAAGTAGACGTTTATCACCTCAGTGATTTAAAAACATTTTAACTCACTCTCGGCATTTTAAGTCACTCTGCCCAACTAAAAATCTGAAACCTCAGTGATTTAAAATATTTTTAACTCACTCCCGGCATTTTTCCTTGTACTTTATTTTTCAAATTTCCACAAAATAGGATAAAATTTTGTATATGTGCAGAAAATATGAAAAGATATTTGTCGATAGATATATTTATAGTGGACTGTAAGTTTCTATAGTTAAATATGAAATAAGAACAATTAAACACCACGATATGCACAAACTCCAATCGATGTTCCTTACCTGTGGTGAATCGCCGTGAATGATTCTGGAAAGGGCGCCCTCGTAATGCCACTAAGGCACTGGTTTGTTCACTCGCGTTCAACTGTAGCTTTCTTAATTTCACCGACCGTGTCTTCAATTCAAAGACAATAAAATTGGCAGGACGAATGTTCTTGCACCGGTGTCTTGGACGTATATGATTTCCTGTTTCAAAGGGATCGGTGCTCGCATCGCCGACAGGGCAACAAAAAATAAGGAATTTATTCAAATCTGTGCATATTTTAAATAGTAAATTGTTTGGCGACGGTGCCAGAAATGTAAAATTATTAGAGATATTCTTGCCTCATTTTTGTCCTTAAGATGAACTGATTTTTGTATTCAGTTAATCATTGTGAAATTATTAATTTAAGCGATTGTCATCAACGACACAATGTCGTACATAAACAATTCAAAATAATAGTGAATCGTAAATCCCATGTTTCCCAAACAGTATACATCTCGTGAGTTAAAGTGTTTATTCATTCGAAGAAAATTAACCCACTCGCTAGGGCTCGTGGGTTAAACTATTTCTTCTCATGAATAAACATTCATTTAACTCACTTGGTGTATAAATAACTATTAATGCACAGATCTAGGTTTTCTGGATGAAAAATAATATTAATAAATAAATAGTAATTTATCATTCTCAGATTTGTTGTTTAAGAGCTGAGGATGGATTTAATTATGTATCAGAAACATGAAACATGAAACATGTATGTATTCGTAGTAAAATTTCAAAAAAATTTACAAAAAGAATTGTGGAGAAGACTGTGAGTTTCACTTCTTGATATCGCTCCACTGTGAGAATGGACTTTTTTTTTAGATAGTAATTCGGTTTGAAGTAAAAAGAGTACCTCTAAAGTAAAAATCGTGCGGAAGAGTAAAAAAATCGTGCGGAAGAGTAAAATCGTGCGGAAAAGTACGACTTTCAAAACGAAAAATAAAAGAAAGTAACTTTTCCGCACGCTCGTAAAAAAAGTTTATATAGTGAAATTGTTAAAATAATGGTTGCTGGTCATCAATGACGTCGAAATTATTGCCAATTAGGCAATCCAACGACCTGTCCAAATGGCGCCTGGTTGGCAAACAATAAACAAAAAACATATATTTTTTTTTTGGCAGGATTATCAATACACGGGGCGAGTTCTCAAATTCGACACTTTTCTGACATCGCTGACATGTAACAACCCGTATTCTTACCTCATAATAGTTATTTATGTATCAAGGAAATTATGAGGGTGTTAATACTCCAGGGCAAAGTTTGTGTCCCGAGGGCCTTCGGCCCGAGGAACACCAATTGCCCGTGGGTATTAACACCTGATAATTCCCGTGGTACATAGATAATTTTATTTCCTAAAATACTGAATTTATTGTATTTTGTCCATTTCTATAAAGAAATAAACCGTAAACCAAAATTTCTATTTTTTGTTTCACCTATTCAAGATAAAAGCGGGAGTTATGAGAATCCTTAACTCCCAAGGGAGTTATGATATCCTTAACTCCCTTGGGAGTTAAGACCCTGTTTATGATTATCGTAACCAAGGTATTATATGGGTATAATAGTTCAGTAGGAAATAAAAGTTTCAAAAAGCCGGCTGGTTGGCAAAAGTCACGTGGTTTGGATTCCCTAATTGTAGTTCGTAAGAAATTAAAATTCGTTTCAAACTCAGAGCGCATTTTCTCTTTTGTTTAACCCTAGTTAAAAAGAAATGAAATGCTGTCGAAGCTGCCGATAAAATGGTATTTAGTTTGGAACCTGTGGGTAATGTTGCCAAATGTTTCCTTCTGCAAATCTTCAGTTATTCAATTTAATTACTTTTAGTTTGTTGTCAGTTTTTAACGAGTCGGGGATTGATAGGGATATAATTTAAGTATAATTGCTATAAAATTGTACTAATGGAATTTCGTTTTTTTTTGGTAGGTAAAGTGTGTTTTTTTAAAGATAAAAGTCAAAATGACATTATGTTAGCAATACAATGTAAAATTGTCAATGCTTTCAATTTTTTTATGTAGAACAGGCTTGTGTTGCCAACATAGTTACTAAATTTTTGACTTGGAGAATTATCTTCAAAAAAAAAAAATAAATTATCATGCTAGTTTTATACTGACAATTTGAATTGACCTTTTCAATTTAAAGCCTCTCTCTCTGGCGTCAGACGTCAATGAAGTATGAAAACAATGGTTGACAGCCGTTGACACTGGTTTGTTGACAAGTGGAAACTGGAAACTATTATTTCCTCAGTTTTTACAAGGTTTTTTCCTAACAATGGTGATTGTATGTAGTGCGCCTTTTCGTAAAAATAATTCCTATTTACCGGCGGACGTGTCTTTCCATAAGTTTCTATCAAAACTATTGCATCAAATAAATCAAATTCAAATCAATGACATTAACAAGCAAGCAAATGTTGGCGGGAAAAAGTATGTTTTCATACTATCCTCCATCTCTTTTAATTGAAAACGTCAATTGATAAATTTGTTTGCCAATTTATTTGCCAATTTATGTTGGCTCAACAATGGCTCAACTTCGCTTTACACTGAATCAGCTTGTTGACAACACAAACGACAATAAAAAATTCTACCAACTTAACCAGAATTTCAAGGTTATGTATTTTTATTTATGGCTCACCCAGAAATATATTTGAAGATGTTTAATAATAAAACTAGAAGAAACTGAAGGTAGAAGAATAAACTGAACATCAACAAGTAAATGATAAATAAAAATAAATATCCTCACCTAGCTTTAATATTTTTAAAGTGTCATTTCTAGGTTGAAAGCCTGAATTGACACAAAAATTGACGGAAAAATAGAACATGCGGTAATCCGTAAATAAATTGAGCAAAAACTTGAATAAGTTAAATTATCGCCAAGTTGGCGCTTTACATAATCAATATTTCTTGACAAGCGACTTGATCAATAAATTGACCAATAAATTGTCAGTGTAAAACCGCTTTTAGTGATTCTTATCAATTTGTTAATAAAAATTAACCTAGGAAAATGACAAACTTTACTAGTCAAAGTAAAACGAAGTTGAAGCGGCAACATTGCGACATGCTAACCTCATAAATTTTGATGCCTCACATCCGTTATTTTATTTATGCCAAATGACATTCAGGCCTATGATGTATCCTGTTCTGTTAGTATAACGGTTGTAATAGGGCTCAACATCTATTTCTGTCTTTATTATGACATAATAGTATATTATGCAATGACCATGTGATGATAACCATTGATACACGAGCATGTTGTAGGATACGAAACGAGCCGCAGGCGAGTTTCGTATATAACATGCGAGTGTATTAATGGCCATTACATGAGAGTTGAATACACTATTTTTTTCTACTGCCATTGATAAAACTTATGATTTTTAGATATGTCAACATTATGCTTAACTTTGAATAGAGATTTTATAATTGAGTGATGCGTCCATACAGTTGATGGTATTATTTTTTGTTGTAATTCTTCAAAATATACTATCAAAACATTTTCTGAGAAGGACGATGTGTTTTTGGTGTTTCCAATCCATAAATTATCCATATAATTTTTCGTAAATTTTCTTGGACTTGTCCGGTAGTATATTTATATCCTACTGAACTATTAAAATCATATAATACCTTGGTTACGATAATCATAAACAGGGTCTTAACTCCCAAGGGAGTTAAGTATTTTCATAACTCCCAAGGGAGTTAAGGAAGCGAGTTAAGGATATCATAACTCCCAAGGGAGTTAAGGATTTCCATAACTCCCGCTTTTACCTTGAATAGGTAACACTTTGACAAAAAATAGAAATTTTGATTTATGGCTTATTCCTTTATAAAAATAGACAGAATACAGTAAATTGGATATAAAATTTCGAAGAAAATTAACCTACTCGCTAGGCTCGTGGGTTAAACTTTCTTCTCATGAATAAACATTCATTTAACTCACTTGGTGTATAAATAACTATTAACTCACTTTCGGCATTTTAAGTCACTCTGTCCAACTATAAATCTGAAACCTCAGTGATTTAAAATATTTTTAACTCACTCTCGGCATTTTTCCTTGTACTTTATTTTTTAAATTTCCACAAAATGGGATAAAATTTTGTATATATTACGTAGGCTAAGCTTTTTATTCATTCAAAGGAAATTAAACTTTTTTCTCATGAATAAAAATTCATTTAACTCACTTGGTGTTTAATAACTATTATTTTCCTATATTTGGTGTTTACCCATAGTTTTTCCGTGTTTTCGAATGTTCTAAAAAGCGAAAATAGAGTGTATTCGTTTCTTATAAAGGATCATAATTTATCCACAGTGAAAAGTATTTTCCTATACTAGTTATACATAAAATTGAATGAATATTTTTTTATAAATATTAGGTATAGTCCATTATGTAGAAGAAATAAGATTACTTACGGTAATATGTCCAAAGGAAACTCATATTTCAGTTGACGTTTTCTGATCATTTCATACAATTGTTTTGGAATTTTTTTAGACGCCCTTGAGGAGGAGTTATTGAATCCATCAGTATTAAAAGTAATGGAATCACTAATATTCCTAAACTCCACATAAATTTTTCTGGAAAAATAAATAAATATTTAAGTTTAAACGATTCCATGTGTTTTACCTCACAAACTTACGTGCTGCCATCAAAGCTGATGTGGCAATCTGTCTTTTGTTCTCCATCTTCCCGAAGCATTCGTTTTATTTGTCTCACGTAAATCTGGCCTGGCTGGTTTGTTTCGAAACCTGTAAAAACACGGTAGAATCTTTAAACTAATTACATATTTATAATATATCATATTTTTAACGTAATAAAAAGAATTGCTAAAGATTCAAAAACTACCACAAGGTTTGAATTATTATTAAAGAGAATTTTTCAACTTAGTATTACCAGAAAAATATATTGTAGTACATGGATCTCTTCCTCCAATCGTTTTAACACATTCCCTTTCACGTCCCTTCTGACGACCATCTGATGATTTCACAAAGAAATTCGGGTAAAATGCCCCAGCCATTATGACCTAAACAAAAATAATTTAATTCTTAAATTATTGCCTCAATTTTTGTTTATAAAGTTCCGATTGGTTAAATGTTGCTTTAAAATCATTTAAAATCTCAATTCTCTAAAAAAAAACAATTCCTACCTTCAATACTGTTGGTTTTTCAGATTCGGAAAGATGAACTCTGGATTGACCACCTGTTTCTCTTATCCGTAATCTTTCCAGTCGAGATTTAATTTCTGTAATGAGCAATTTCCATTCCCTTAATCCTTTTATACTGATCAAATTTCTATGACACCAATCCACTTCAAGTTTTCGAATGGAGAAACAGTTTTCACGATGTAAATTTTCCCAGACCTATTGAAAAAATAAAATAATGTTTTCGGTCATCAAAACATAAACAGGTTCTGGTTTTTGAATTTCATCGACTTGCTTTGGAGTCCATCTACTATTATACCAGGTGTCCCACTAAGGTCGGCCAGGTACGATATTATGGAAACCATAGACCTTACGGCTTCGGGATTTTTTTTTTCTCCACTAAATCGGCCAAGAGAAATTGATGGAAATTATTTTCAAGTTTCTAGGATGACCGCTAGGGGGCGCAATTACGATGATATAGCTAAAAATTCAACTTTTCTCAAGAAATCGCTATATTAAGTTACTGTTTTAACAACAGAAATCAAAAGTTCATTCATTTTTGCGCCAGTTTGGTTATTAGGGTTTTTTTCGTATGGGGAGTGGGGGAAGCTGGTGAAATTTTTTTTTAGAAATTGCTGTATCTTCCATACGCCTCATTCAAACTCATTCTATTTGGAAGAGAATTTCATTGTTACATATTAGGAACACCACTTCGTTCGAGGTCGATAGTTCCCACCGCGTCATCTAGAGGGCGCTTTTTATTCAAGATCCAGTTTTTTCTAATTTTCATGAAAAATCCAAATGGCATAATATTAGTTTTTTATTGCTGTGCTTAAAGAGCAAAAAAATATCTACATTTTGGCGCAAACCGCAATTCAATATCTGCATTCATTTTCAAGTTACGTAAGGTCTATGGTCTCCATAATATCGTACCTGGCCGACCTTAGTGGGACACCCTGTATAGAATATTCAATATGAGTTACTGGAGGCAAAACAGGAAAATATATATATGGTAACGACAGCTCCTATAAGCAGACCATTTGCATAACCAAATGCAGCATACCTTCAAGAATATTTGGAAGTGATGTATTTTAACTGTGATTTTTAGGACCCATATAACTGATTTTTCCTATTTTAAATATTATCAATTGAAGCTGCTTACCGAGTATAAATTCAATAAAGCAATGAGATCGCTACACGACTCATCAGCCCAGAGCAACACTTTTCTGTAGGCCTCCAATCTTCTTTGGAATGGAACCGAAAATATGTTTTGTATTGAACAGCCGGCAGCTGAAATAGAAAAAAAGATAAGTTAAATTAAATTTAAAAAAGTTATCTCTGAGCAGTTTTTTTCAGATATGAAATTAGAAACTTTCTGAATCAGTTCCATAAAAAAACTTTGGGAAACCCAAACTAACAACCAGAGACTAGCACAAAAAAAAATCACATGTATTTTTTTTTTTTTTTTTTTTTTTTACGGATATGCCCACTCGCAAGGAAATGTCCTATCACGCTCGAGAAGCGGCAAGTGCGCGGAGATGTCGGTGTATGTTGGTCTTGAAACGGTTCAGGTTGTAACCTGCAGGGAAAACCGTCGCAGGGAGTTTATTCCACAGCGATGCTGTTCTCCAGAGATTTTGGAATGTTAATATTTATTTTTTCAGGAGACCCAAAGTATATCTAATAAAAAAATATCATGGCCAACGAATATTTTTGTACATTTTTAGGCTGTTATTAGGTTAGCCCTGGCATTCAAAGAGTGAACGATTCCAAAAGTATGTATGTATATATGTTACGGTTTATAAGCTAACTTGAATAGTTTGTAAACTACCTGGATAGTTTACAAACTAACCAACCCACTGCCTATTTTGATAGAAAACGCAGTTTTCACTAAAATAGCAGCTAGTTTACACAAAATCGCCAAACCTTTGCAACCAATTTTTTGGCTAACCTACAAATAAAGTTAGTTACATTCTGCAAGATAAATTCACCGTTCTATTATTCTATCGGTCGGTGGATAATTGGCCGACCAATGGGATTGAAGATTCCTAAAAGTACCCTTACTAAACATCCAATTATATATGAGGGTAGAAAGATGTAAAATCGCTTGCCTCTGGAAATCAAGAATCTAGAAAGTGACGAAAAATTTGGCCAAATAGAAAGGAAGATGTTATTGAAGAAAGCTTATTATTGCCTTGACGAGTTTTATGCGGATGATTTATGTTATGTTATGTTAAATTGTATTTATATTTTAAGGAATTTTTAGCTGTTTTTGATGGTTTTTTTTCTATTTGGTGAGTCTATGACCACTGAGTTTATACTGTTCTTATATGTATTTATTTTCAGCTTTGTACATGAGGGTATTTAAGCTCTTTACACAATAAAGCATTTTTTTATTTGATTTGAAGATTGCGTTTTTATCCGTCATAGTACGGGATAAGAGGCCTATTTTATCAAATCATTTTACACCGTCTTGCATTGTTATCATCAGTTAGATAACATGGTACTGAAATGCACTTGTGCATGGAAATAGATGGGAGTGGGGGATTTCGCTGAAAAATATCTTTCAGAAAATGTCGTCATAAACAAGGAAAATATATAATTATACACCGTCTTGCATTTATTTATTGAGTTGATTTGTACACAAACAAAAGTGGATTAACACATGCAAGACGTTTTCATGAGGGTTTTGGGGCTGTAATATAAGATAGAAATTGTCAATTTTCGAGAGGGGTGAAAAATCATTTTATCTACAAGCGTTTGGTTATGACGTTTTTACATAACCATTTTTCTAGTAATTGAGTTATGTTATGAGACTCATAACACAACTAGTGGTGTTATGGACGAGGTTATGAATCTATAACACAACTATTTTTGGTGATTTGACAAATGTCAAAGGTAAACCTGTAAAGGTAAAATAAAGGTAGACATCTACTAATAAACGAAATTAATTGAAAAAACGGGATCACCCCATTTGTGCTAATGTTCATTTGCTCTACCCACCCGAAGTCGCTTTCGGGCGGGAGCGTCGGACGAGCCGAAGTCCGACCGGAGTATAACCCTCATCGAAATGAATGCAGTTGTTGTAGCGCAAATGAGTACAGCGTTGCCGTCCCCTCTCCATCTGGCGGGTATTTAAAATAGAAAATAGAATTCTCTTTCGTATTTCGTTATTATTCAAGTATCGAGTCGGTGTGGTGTTTTCTTTACTTTAAAAATGGAAAATTTTAACTTTTAATATTTTATTGGTTAAATAATAATTTACTTTAAAAATGGAAAATATTAGTTACATGCATAGGTACATAGAAAAATGTACATGCATGAAAGAAACACAATCGTTTGTGAAAACTAGTCAGCTCACATGTTGTTTTTTGATTGAAATCCAAAACTTTTAACCTTTTTTTTTGCTATCTAGGTGGCTGTGGTTAGGTCTATCTTACTTGAGATAATGGACTCTTTCCTTAAATATCAGAGTTCTTTTCATAAATATATTCATCTTCATGTAGATTCTAGCAATATAAAATATAATAATAAAGCTCTTCTTGAAGGGTATTTCTTTTTCACCTTTATTATTAAATAAGAACATGAAAAATATTTAATTTCAAAATGTCTATTTTCAATTTCAATTGGCATTTTTATACATTTGTTACAACATGAATTCAACAATAATGATAAATTACAATAGGTACTTTTTAACAATAAATAATAAGTAAAGTCTGTTTTTTTTTTTAAAGATAATTCCCCAAGTCAAAAATTTAGTAACTTTGTTGGCAACACAAGCCTTTTCTACATGAAAATTTTGAAGGCATTGACAACTTTACATTGTATTGCCAACATAATGTCATTTTGACTTTTATCTTTAAAAAAAAAACACATTTTAGTAGGTAGGTAAGGTTCGTTTCACCAGGGTTCATACTTGACTTTGAAACTTGAAAAAAAAGGGTTGTCGTAGATTAATTCATATGACACATTCAATTTTTTTGACAAATTAAAATGAATGACGTCTGGTTAGGAACCGACGAACGTTTTTGACGTCATTGATTTGTTTCAGTCAATTTTTATTTGTTAAACAAGGAAGGCAAATGCTGGTGGCAAGTACAAACCCTGGCGAAACAAACTTTATATGTTTTACTTGATAGTCATTAAGCAGGGCCGGCTCCAGTCATTTCGACGCCCCGTGCAAAAGGTATTTTTGCCGCCCCTCTTACCGATTACTTTGCTACTTTGTAGTTCCAGTACCACCCTCGGTAATACCTATTTGCTAAACTCACAGTTGATTTTATTATTGTCCAGTGTCCTTATATGATATATACTATATTTTTATTATTTTTTGAGCTTTTTTTGGAATAATTTTATTAGCATTTTAATGCAACCTACAATAGACGTATCTCGTATCACCTGAAGTGCGCAGGCAGTTGAGGGCTTAGAGCAGGTAAAGTTAAAAAGGAGTGGTAGTAAACTGGATTTGGAAAATTAAGCCGTTTTTTTCCAGGTATTTTGACACCAAAAAAATGGCGGTATAGGCAATTCAATGCTTTACCTGTATTTTGGTGCCAAACACCTGCCAAAAACTTGGCTTCACTTTTTCATAAGCAGAATGGCGCGTTCCTACTCCTTATGTCCGTAGGACAGCGCTTTATAGTCCAACAAATACCATTTTAAAGTCACGTGATTTTTCTCTATCCTTGTTGAATACATCTCAAACAGCGGTGATAGCAAAATTGACAAAAAAATTGGTGTCTAATTATTGTTCATAATATTCTTACCTGAAATAGAATCCGTCACTGTCATCAATTAGTTTGTCAAAGAAATTTTGGAAAATAATACAACGAACAAACACAGCTAATAATTTTGACTATATTAACCTTTTTCCAACTCGAAAAGAAGCAAATAGAAATCGGGTACCCAATTCAAGTTCAGAATGTATTACAATGGACAGCAGATGTGACAAAAGTGAGTCTCACGGCAATTGCAAGTATTAAAATTCCCATCTGATTGATCAATACTACTTCAGAAACGCGTTTGTAAAATGCTATTGGGAACATATCTTAAAATTCAATAGTAATTAACCACTAGTAGCTTTTTGTAGGTGATATCAACGACATAATCAATGGACATACGTTTTTTGCCACCAATATCACGTGACTTTAAAATGGTATTTGTCGGACTCTACCTGCTCTAAGGTTGGGGGCAAAAAGGTAGAAATTTGACAGTACGCATACAGTGAAAATGTCACCAACACCCCCAGCGGCGCGCGCATCTATGTTCTCTCCCAGTTCATTTCATTACTTTTAACCATATGCACTGTCTCTTTTTATAAACGAGACACCTGTATTCTTGGCAACTCTCATAGCGTTTTCCATTTGTCGAAAAAGAGCAAAAAAAATGTATCCTTATCCTTACATAATACATGCTTTTAGACAAAGATGCGGATACACTCAGTGCGCACTGATTGACAAATGGAAATCGCCATCAAATACCACAAAAACATAACCTACATCGCTTGCGGATGCGTGAAACTAGCTGGCGATAGGTGTTTTCGGGTTCTCGTTTTTCGAACTGTTTGCGAACCTTCCTGGAACTGCGAACTTATTCAGTCCTTAGAACTGTGCTCAGAGTTTGAAAAAATCCGAACATGTTGTGTGGTGCGGCAGTCAAACCTGCAATTTTGAAAAAAGCGCGGGAGCCAAGAAAGTGGGCGGGGCGAGTTGTCAAGGTTACCGTTGTGTTTCCCAGTTTCCCCCTTCAAAGCATTTTAGTAGTAGCCATGGAACAGTGGTCCAAGCAAGAACGGTCCTTCGCCGTGAAGGCATTTTATCAGAGCGGTAGTTCAAGAGGTGATATTCCGAAAAGGCGCGGCACCATTCCTTGGCCCGCCCGTTCACCCGACCTCACCGCATGTGATTTTTTTTTGTGGGGCTATTTAAACAGCAAAGTTTTCGAAGAACTGCCTCGTACTCTTGACGAACTGGCGAGGAGCAGTCAGGAAATCGAAAGAATCCCTCAGCATATGCTCCGTGATGTAATGGACAATTCAAGAGATCGCCGCCAAGAATGCATCGATCGAAACGGACGACATCTTAATCATGTTATTTTTGAATGAATAATGTTTCTTAAATGCTTCTCAATGTAAATTAACATGGTACCTATATCAATGAAATTTTGAACAATGCAATCGTGTATTATCTACAGTTATTTCAAAAATGCAGGTTTGACTGGACCGTTCTTGCTTGGACCACTATTCCATGGCTACTAAAATGCTTTGAAGGGAGAACATAACCTTGACAACT